AAGGGGGGAATTCCAACAATTACAAAACAAATCTGCTTAATTAAATGGTTAAAAAAGTGAACACAGTCATTCAGAGTGGTTTGTTGTGAAATGGTTGATTGTAGAGACTCAGATTTCTTTACAGTGGTGGTGATAGGAACCGGGGGTTGCCATGACTACAACACAAATATAGCCAAATTTTTTATTCATTATCCAAAACCACCAGTGAACATACACAAGTCCTCTGAGCTTTTCAGTGAATTCATAATCATTTCATGTAATAACTGTCTGTGAGGGAGCTTTTAGAGGTGGACGTCTGGTTCCTATCACCACCACTGTGAACAATTCTGACTTGCTTCTCTAGAACAGAGCACTTCACACCAAACCACTCTGAATGACTGTTTACATTCACATCTGTTTACATACATCAGTGTTCTCTGACTACAATACCCAGCATGCATTATACAAATACATCACACAACCACTAATGCTGCGTTCGGGGGCTCATTGGAAGGTTGCATCTACCAGATGGTTAACTAGTATATACGACTTCACTCAGTTTGGGTGCTCGTTCATAGAAACACCCACCACACAAAGACAGGATGGAGGTCCGCAGAAAACATATCCTGCTTTTTCTTTGCCGTGTTAAAAAGCACACAGATCTAGTAGAAGGTTAAATGTTGCTGTATACATCTTGTAAAGTTGTGTATCATCTAGAATCCGGAGTTTACCAGTTGTAAACATGACTTTGTTGGCCATTTAATTTACAGGTGGGAAAAATGGTATTTCCCAGTTTCAGACATCACTCGAACGCAGCGTTAGACTCCCCCACAGCGATAAAGAAGTCCTGACTGCTAGCATGACAGCCAGTGATGTACAGTGCCGTGAAATAGTATTTGCCCCCACCCGATTTCTTCTATATTTTTCCTGATTTGTCAGATCATCCAACTAATTTTAATATAAGAGAAAGATAACATGAGTAAACACAAAAACGCCGCTTTTAAATGATCATTCTGTTTATTGAAGCTAAAGATTTATTTAAAACCCATGTCACCCATGTGAAAAAGTAATTGCTGGTGGAAATTCTCCTTCAGGATTTTCTGATAGAGGGCAGAATTCATGGTTCCATCAATTACGACAAGTCGCCCAAGTCGATGGTCTGCAGAAGCAAAGCAGCCCCAGACCATCACACTACCACCACCATGTCTCACTGTTGGTATGATGTTCTTATGGTGGAATGCAGTGTTAGCTTTACGCCAGGTGTAAAGGACCCATGTCTTCCAAAAAGATCCCCCTTTGACTCTGGAGTACCAGAGCCTTACCAGTGGCTCAGATAGGTCCAGGTAGGGCTGAACAGCATTTTGCCTTCAATAAATGAAATCATTTAAAAGCAGCATTTTTATTTACTTAGGTCAGGTTGTCTAATGTTAAAAGGAATTTGATGATCTTAAACGTTCAAGTGTGACATGCAAAAATAGAAGAAATTGGGTAAATACTTTTTCACAGCACTGTATTAAGATTAAGTGACCCTTATTAGTCCCACAAAGGGGGACATTTCACCACCGCATTTTAGCCATCTGTGCAGTGAAACACCACATGCACACCAGTGAACACACACTAGGGGCAGTGAGCACACTTGCCTGGAGCAGTGGGCAGCCCTATCTGCAGCACCTAGGGAGCAGTTGGGGGTTAGGTATCGCTGCGCTGCCGTAGCAGGTGAACAGGCATGTTCACGACCGATGTAGCAGTGGGTAAATGTTTCATTCAGGTCAGAGTGTCCCTTTAACACCCCAACACTGACTGAGGACGATGTGTGAGGATTCAGACAGGCTGTCTGGACCATCCTAATGTTTTTAGCGTGCCATTATTTGTTAGGTACTCTAGCTTTATAGTGCAAAATTAATGAAGCAAATTAAAGATGTCAAACACATCTTGACTGATCAACTATGTTCGAGGTAACTTTAAACAGCCGTAGACGCCTGAGGAGCTGATTTTAAAGACCAATATCCTCCAATTTCCTTGTATCTTGTTGTCTGGTTCACTTTTGCTTGGGTTTGTGTCAAAAACCGTCCTAATTCATTTGTACTCGACCCTTTTCCAACCTTTTTATCTACTATTAAACAGGCAGTTTCCTTTTTACTGTGTCTTTAATATATATGTAAATGAGCTCTGTTCCGATTGGCTGCCCTGTATTGTCTCTCATTTGAAAACGTTCCAGGCTGAAACACTCCCTATAACTTCAGCATGAGTGGGCGGGGCTAAACTGCTGCAGGCTGAGTAGGTGTGCTAGCTTTTATGACATAAAAACAGTCAACTCAAAACAGGCTGCTGGACTGCAGAGTGGGAAGCTTTACATCCACATTATCAAATTGTTTAATTCCCAAAAAAAGGAAGAAAGTGAGGGAAGTGTGATTTTCCCTGATACGGGCCTTTAATAGAGTAACTGCGCTTTTCCTCTCGGAGTGGCCGAGGCTGCAGGACAAGGCCAGGCACATACCTGCCGCCCACGGTCTTATCACCGGCATATTTACCAGAATTTCACGTCCGAGACAGATGAGAGATATCGCAGGAATTCCTCTGATCAAGCAGCGCTTTCAGGAGGAAAAATGAGGGTGCTGTTTTTTGCCCTCTCTCTCTCCCTCCCTCCCTCCCTCCCTCCCTCCCTCTCTCTCTTTCTCCCTCCCTCACGTCTACGGAAAAGGGAAAACAGCAGTATCTCTGCTCCATTAGCTGCCTGACACGACCCTCGCAGCAGCTGCATGACCAGACATATTTCAGCACTGTCACTCGGGGAATTCAGATACAGCACAAAAAAAAAAGTGGAGGAGAAAAATATGTTGCTGTTGCGTGACTGACGCGTCCGTCCGTCAGCCCATGTTACACAACCACTGCACGAATCCTAAGCAGGTGTTTTCACACCTACAAGTGGCGAAGAGGGAAATACTGCCTGTGCTTTAACTCTGACTTTGCCCTCTTCAGCTTTACTGACAGTGACAGTGACTGAAAGTGCAAATCAGCTCTGCAGTGAGAGGCTATTTGCACAACACTGTTCAATAGGCTTCAGGCAGTCACTGGTGCAGTAAGTACAGTCATTAGGTGCGAATCTGGAGGCCAGCAGCGCCGCACAGAGCAGCGTTTGACCACCTCTAAGGCAGCTGTGAGTGTTTCACAAAGCTGAGCAAACTTAAACCCAGAATGCGCACAGTAACACAGGAATGTCCCCTAGAGACTCGCCTTCGGGCTTAAAGGGCTCATATCCTACAATGTTTTGTTGTATTTCACATTTCCCCCTCTGAACGTCCACTGGGGTCATTATTCAGTTTACTTGACCGTTTTCAGTGACACTTTTTTGAGTGTCTTTTTAGATGAAACAAACACTCAATGGGCTCTCAGTAACATGTCAGACATATGAGGATTAGGTTTTGGGTGGAAGCTAAGGTTAGGGCCAGGGTGAGGGTTAGGATTAGGTTTTGGGTTGAGATTAGGATTCGGATTAGGGCCAGGGTTAGGATTAGGTTTTGGGTTGAGATTAGGATTCGGATTAGGGCCAGGGTTAGGATTAGGTTTTAGGTTAAGGTTAAGGTGAGTGTTAGGATTAGGTTTTGGGTTAAGGTTAGGGTTAAGATTAGGGCCAGGGTGAGAGTTACTTGTTGGGTAAGGTTATGTTTTGCGTAATAAAAGTAACATACATCTACTTAATGTAAGTAATGTATCAACAGAACATCTACAAGATATTTACTTCAGTGTATTCAGATGCTTCACTGCTGCTACTTCACTGATATGTTGTTGATGTGTTACTGATACTCTGTTAAGAGTTTATTAATCATCTACAAACGACCACTCCAACTAAAGTGTTCCCCATTTTCTCCAACCAGATGTATAAACAGGACCTCTGATCAGCTTCCCTTAAAACAGCAGACCAGGATGAAACACTCTTTATAACTTCAGTGGGCGGAGCTAAACCGCTATAGGCTGAACAGTTGGATATACAGCACTGTACAAAAGCTGCACCTGTTTATCCGGACTCTCTGTGTTCATTTGCTCAGAAAAGCACTAATATTAGAATAAATGCCAGTAATATTAATACAATAAGTGGTGATTTTATGTATGTCAGTGTGTTTGTTTGACCATGTCCAAACGTCTCCTCGAGGAAGCCCAGCACTAACTGAAGTTATCATCTAAAACCTGGTTTTGTTAATCAATCCTTCAATAACCTCTTAAATGGCCAAAGTTTTATTACACACTTTATAACCTCAGAAAAGCTCAGCCAGTTTGCACTGAAGTAGCAAATGAATAATAAGCATTAATATATGTTATAAATTGGATTTTAAGGGGTTAAATTAAATCAGGTGCCCGGCTGATGGATGTGAAGGCTGAGGGTGACGGAGTCAGAGTGAAGTCTAAAGACAAACCTCACAGCATCTCAAACATACTTTTTCAAAATAAGAAATTCTTTTCATTTTTACTGCATTTATGTTTGTTTGGTTGTATTTATTCTAATGATAAAGTTGTTCCCTGCAAAAACACACTTGAGTGTACCTAAAACTTTACAGTACTTTCAAAGTAAATGTACTGGTTTTCATAGCATCACAAAAACAATAAAAAATGAATAATTAAACAGGCCATTTCTGTAACGTAACGTCCAAATAAGGACGGAAAGCGAACGGTTAACAATGATTTTTTCCCTGATATGGGCCCCTTAAGTTGACATTAAGCTGTTATTTCATGAAATACCCTTTGGATTCGACTCATCAGGTAAACACGAAGCCCTAAAATGAGCCTTAGAGCAGGAAAGGCTTTAAACTGCTGAGGCTCTATAGGACCGGAGCTGTCCAGCCCTGAATTAGAACCACAGCCTCTGTGAAAACATTTGTGAGTCAGTCTTTGGCTGTGGCGCCATCTAGTGACAGTTCAACCTTTTAGGCTCTGAATGCACTGTAAGATGGGAAAGTGCCTGCAGTGGAATCAATGTGTCAGTCGTCTGGGAATGAACACTGTAAAATGACATTAACAAGCAAACATTTAGCGCCATAGTTTATTGCTGCCCATCATGTCCAATAAAGATGTTTTGCTGGGATTCAGCAACTGATTAAGCTTCAGAGCCAGAACAATCACGGAGGAACTGATTCTAATCTGATCCTCAAACCTAATTCTAACACTGACTCTCAGAGTCAGCTTAATACTTACAGCAGATCTTTAAATGATGTAGAACCAAGGCTTGACCATTCAAATCTCATCTGTACCACTTCTTGTTTGTCTGCCGGTTTAAACTTGTACACAAAATATACATTGAAATTAAAAGAAAACAAAACAAAAAAAAAAAAAAGTATTTGGAGTTCCAGGGAATTCAGTTCTAAACGATCTCTGTGTTAAAAACTGACCGACGTGAGTCCAGTTAAGCCTGAGGGCTTTCAGAGAGGGCCGAGTCCAGCCTAGGCTCAGTGACCATGAGTCCGGCTTCTCTGTGCTGTTTAGGGTTTTGGTTCTGAACTCAACCCCAGGCTTCACGCTTTCTCACTCCACAAACTGACGGAGGATCCTCTTCTCCTCCTCCACGAAGTTCTTATCAGACGTGGCCTGGCCCATGTCCCTCTTCCTCTTCTCCTTCTGCTGGAAGGTCTCCACTCGCCGCTTCTTGGCAGACTTGGACTCCTTGTCTGTAGAATCTTCATCATCTGCACAGACGAACACAAGAAGAAGACCATTATAGAGAACAGGAACGGTCCCTAATCTCTGTTCCCTACAATAGAACACTATATAGAACAGGAACGGTCCCTAATAACTGTTCCCTACAATAGAGCACTACATAGATCAGAGACGGTCCCTAATAACTGTTCCCTACAATAGAGCACTATATAGAACAGTAATGGTCCCTAATCTCTGTTCCCTACAATAGAACACTATATAGAACAGGAACGGTCCCTAATAACTGTTCCCTACAATAGAGCACTACATAGATCAGAGACGGTCCCTAATAACTGTTCCCTACAATAGAGCACTATATAGAACAGTAATGGTCCCTAATAACTGTTCCCTACAATAGAGCACTATATAAAACAGGAACAGTCCCTGATCACTGTTCCCTACAATAGAGCACTATATAGAACAGGAATGGTCCCTAATAACTGTTCCCTACAAAAGAGGACTATATAGAACAGGAATGGTCCCTAATCACTGTTCCCTACATTAGAACACTATATAGAACACTACAGAGAACACAAATGGTCCCTAATCACTGTTCCCTACATTAGAGCACTATATAGAACAGGAATGGTCCCTAATCACTGTTCCCTACATTAGAGCCCTATAATAGAACACTATATAGAACAGGAATGGTCCCTAATCACTGTTCCCTTCATTAGAGCCCTATATAGAACACTACAGAGAACAGGAATGGTCCCTAATCACTGTTCCCTTCATTAGAGCACTATATAGAACACTATAGAGAACAGAGATGGTCCCTAATCACTGTTCCCTACATTAGAGCACTATATAGAACAGGAATGGTCCCTAATCACTGTTCCCTACATTAGAGCCCTATATAGAACACTATAGAGAACAGGAATGGTCCCTAATCACTGTTCCCTTCATTAGAGCCCTATATAGAACATTATAGCGAACAGGAATGGTCCCTAATCACTGTTCCCTTCATTAGAGCCCTATATAGAACACTATAGAGAACAGGAATGGTCCCTAATCACTGTTCCCTACATTAGAGCCCTATATAGAACACTATAGAGAACAGGAATGGTCCCTAATCACTGTTCCCTTCATTAGAGCCCTATATAGAACACTATAGAGAACAGAGATGGTCTCTAATCTCTGTTCCCTACAATAGAACACTATATAGAACAGGAACGGTCCCTAATAACTGTTCCCTACAATAGAGCACTACATAGATCAGAGACGGTCCCTAATAACTGTTCCCTACAATAGAGCACTATATAGAACAGTAATGGTCCCTAATAACTGTTCCCTACAATAGAGCACTATATAAAACAGGAACAGTCCCTGATCACTGTTCCCTACAATAGAGCACTATATAGAACAGGAATGGTCCCTAATCACTATTCCCCACTATTGAGCACTATATAGAATAGGAATGGTCCCTAATAACTGTTCCCTACAAAAGAGGACTATATAGAACAGGAATGGTCCCTAATCACTGTTCCCTACATTAGAACACTATATAGAACACTACAGAGAACACAAATGGTCCCTAATCACTGTTCCCTACATTAGAGCACTATATAGAACAGGAATGGTCCCTAATCACTGTTCCCTACATTAGAGCCCTATAATAGAACACTATATAGAACAGGAATGGTCCCTAATCACTGTTCCCTACATTAGAGCCCTATAATAGAACACTATATAGAACAGGAATGGTCCCTAATCACTGTTCCCTTCATTAGAGCCCTATATAGAACACTACAGAGAACAGGAATGGTCCCTAATCACTGTTCCCTTCATTAGAGCACTATATAGAACACTATAGAGAACAGAGATGGTCCCTAATCACTGTTCCCTACATTAGAGCACTATATAGAACAGGAATGGTCCCTAATCACTGTTCCCTACATTAGAGCCCTATATAGAACACTATAGAGAACAGGAATGGTCCCTAATCACTGTTCCCTTCATTAGAGCCCTATATAGAACATTATAGCGAACAGGAATGGTCCCTAATCACTGTTCCCTTCATTAGAGCCCTATATAGAACACTATAGAGAACAGGAATGGTCCCTAATCACTGTTCCCTACATTAGAGCCCTATATAGAACACTATAGAGAACAGGAATGGTCCCTAATCACTGTTCCCTTCATTAGAGCCCTATATAGAACACTATAGAGAACAGAGATGGTCTCTAATCACTGTTCCCTACATTAGAGCCCTATATAGAACACTATAGAGAACAGGAATGGTCCCTAATCACTGTTCCCTTCATTAGAACCCTATATAGAACACTATAGAGAACAGAGATGGTCTCTAATCACTGTTCCCTACATTAGAGCCCTATATAGAACACTATAGAGAACAGAGATGGTCCCTAATCACTGTTCCCTACATTAGAGCCTATATAGAACACTATAGAGAACAGAGATGGTCCCTAATCACTGTTCCCTACATTAGAGCCCTATATAGAACACTATAGAGAACAGAGATGGTCCCTAATCACTGTTCCCTACATTAGAGCCCTATATAGAACACTATAGAGAACAGAGAATGGTCCCTAATCACTGTTCCCTACATTAGAGCCCTATATAGAACACTATAGAGAACAGAGATGGTCCCTAATCACTGTTCCCTACATTAGAGCCCTATATAGAACACTACAGAGAACAGAGATGGTCCCTAATCACTGTTCCCTACATTAGAGCCCTATATAGAACATTATAGCGAACAGAGATGGTCTCTAATCACTGTTCCCTACATTAGAGCCCTATATAGAACACTATAGAGAACAGAGATGGTCCCTAATCACTGTTCCCTACATTAGAGCCCTATATAGAACACTATAGAGAACAGAGATGGTCCCTAATCACTGTTCCCTACAATAGAGCCTTATATAGAACACTATAGAGAACAGGAATGGTCCCTAATCACTGTTCCCTACATTAGAGCCCTATATAGAACACTATAGAGAACAGGAATGGTCCCTAATCACTGTTCCCTACATTAGAGCCCTATATAGAACACTATAGAGAACAGGAATGGTCCCTAATCACTGTTCCCTACATTAGAGCCCTATATTGAGTGCACTCCTCCACTAGGTCTCAGACACCAGTGTAAAATGGCAGAGCTCTGAATTGGGGCTCTACACAGTTCCAGACTTGGTCTGAGACTCTGATCTGAGGAGGGACTCTAACTGATCCGGTTCTCCCTCTGTGGCTCCATTACCGGATTCTGGCTGCTCCTCGTCAGGTAGGAATTGGGCGTTTCCCGCGTGCGGCTGCGGCGCATCGTCTCCGTTATCCTCGTACACGTTGGACCACTTTATGGCCATGTCCATACCTGGCGGCGGCCCCTTCTTCTCCTCCGTCACGTAGCTCTGAGGGGGCGGCACCGCGTTGCTCTTCCACACCTTAAACTCCTTTGCGGGCTAAAGCAGAGAAAGATCATTACACAGATGATCAGAACCTTATACACACACACACACACACACACACACACACACACACACACACGCACGCACACACACGCACACACACACACACACACCTCTGTCAGGCATAACATTATGACCACCCACTTGTTTCTCTGCTCATTGTCCATTTTATCAGCTCCACTTACTATATAGGTGCACTTTGTAGTTCCACAGTTACAGACTGTAGTCCATCTGTTTCTCTGCATACTTTGTTGGCCCCCTTTTACTCTGTTCTTCAGTGGTCAGGACCCCCATGGACCCTCACAGAGCAGGTACTATTTGGGTGGTGGATCATTCTCAGCACTGCAGTAACACTGACGTGGTGGTGGTGTGTTAGTGCGTGCTGTGCTGGTACGAGTGGATCAGACACAGCAGTGCTGCTGGAGTTTTTAAACACTGTGTCCACTCACTGTCCACTCTATTAGACACTCCTACCTTGTCAGTCCACCTTGTAGATGTAAAGTCAGAGACGATAGCTCATCTGCTGCTGCACAGTTTGTGTTGGTCATCCTCTAGTCCTTCATCCGTGGTCACAGGACACTGTTGGCTGGATATTGTTGGTTGGTGGACTATTCTCAGTCCAGCAGCGACATTGATGTGTTTAAAAACTCCAGCAGCACTGCTGTGTCTGATCCACTCAGACCAGCGCAACACACACTAACACACCACCACCACGTCAGTGTTACTGCAGTGCTGAGAATGACCCACCACCCAAATATGGCCATAGTTTATTAAATCATTGCCTTATTAAAAAGTAAACGTTATTCTGTGTTACGGAGCCCTGCTGGTGACGTCCCATAGAAAAAAAAAGTGTTGTTAATGATCTTGTTCCCATGACTTAATATGGTGTGTGAACAACATAATTAAGTCATGACCACAACCTAATAAGGCATGGGAACGAGGTCATGCCTTAAGCTCTGGTCAAGGCTTAATTACATTGTTCCCACGCCTTACTAAGGGGTGGCCATGCATTAGGATCTCATTCCCATGGCTTACTAAGTTGTGGCCATGACTTAATCATCTTGTTCCCACATCACCAGCAGGGCTCTGTATTTTACTGTACACTCACGGTGGAGAGGAACCTGCAGGAACAGCAGTATTAAATCATACATATAAATTATTTTACTATCATTACATTTAAACTCTCCCTGGTGGCTTTGATAGTAAATAAAACGGCTATATCTGTGCTGTTGTCATGGTGACCCCTGGTTCCTATCACCACCACTGTTTACATCTCAGCCATTAAATCATGCAGAATTTCAGCTAATTCTGTGGACTTCTCCTTTTTAAACGACTGCTAATCCTGATCCAGACTGAAATCTTAGGCCTGCAGCTTCTTGTTCGACTTTCCCCGGTCCACCTTAAATGGTGCAGCAGCTCCATTCAGCCCAAGGCGCCAGAGTGTAACTGCTGCACCATTTAAGGTGGACCGGAAAATTCAAACAAAAATCTCGTGTTTTACCTCCTCGGGCGCTTTGACGATGCGGCTCTCCCAGTCGATGTGCTTGTTGAGCGGGTTGTAGAGGAAGGCCGGCTTGCTGATGGTCCTGAACAGCTCGTCCGGTCGGGGTAACGGAGCTCCGGGCGCGCTCTGGCCGCCTGCGGAGGCCGAGGAGGCGGCTGAGCCCGAGGCCCGCTGCTGCTTCTGCCTCTTCACCGCGGGCTCCTCCTCCTCCTCACTGCTGGAGCTCAGATCATCAGCGCAGCCCAGGAAGAAGTTCAGCGGCTCATTCTTCTGACTGTCGCCCATGGCGCCGAACGGCTGGGTCGTCCTGAACGAGCTCGAAACACCCCAGCGCCTCAGACAACAGCCGCCATTCAAGCGGGGCGCTGAAATATGACGAGCGGGTTTGACCAGTAAGTCCAACCAACTTTCCTTCGCGAGGGATTGTCGTTTGGCTGCACCGCACATGAAGACCGCTAGGTGGCGACAGAGCACTATAAATAGAGCCCGATTGGCCTGGATTTTAAAAACTGGAGCGTCCGTTTTAAAATTTCCAAGTTTGTAGAGTTTTAAGTTGTTATCTGTCTATTTATGTGTTTATTTGTAAAATTTGTGCTTGCACGTTAAGATTCCCACTGAAAAAGTACAGCATGGTCAGCTTTGGGCCTGGAGATGAACCACCCTGCACAGTTCAGCTCCAGCCCTAATCAAACACACCTGATCCAGGTAATGAAGGCCTTCAAGGCCATCTGAGTATTAGAGCCAGGTGTGCTGGATCTGACCTCTCCAGGACATGAGATCTCCAGGACCAGGACTGGGCACCCCGTGACCAGCATAGGACACCTTTTCGTCTGAGTTTGATGGTCTGGCTCAGTCCTGGACGGCCAGTGTCCAGCACAGTTGGGTAGTTTCCCTGCTTAAACACCCACTAAACCTGCCAATTGACAGATGAGTGTAATCATGTGTGCTTGAGCAGGTAAACTACCAAACTGTGCTGGACTCCAGCCTCCAGGACTGGAGCTGTGCACCACTGGTTTAACTGGTGAACCAGCACGAACAGCTTGACCCGAGTCATCAAGGTCAAGCTGGTCAACCAGCTTTGTCAAGTTGTTCATGCTGGGAGACCAGCTACACCAACAAACTCAAACAAATAAAATAATGCTCTGCTGGTTTATCAGCTCTAACCGTGTTTCCACCTTGTCCAGCTGGATGTCCAGCTTGTTGACGGCACTGACCACCAAAGGTCAGCTTAAACCATGTGAAACCAGATACCAGCAAAAGCTGGACTTAGCTGGGTTTATCAGCAGGGATACGACACAAAAGTCCTCCCTTGCTCTTTCATGGACTGCTGTATGCAAAAGTTTGTGCACCCTGGTCAAATGATGTTTTGTTGACTTTTTTAAGTGAAAATAAGTGACCACTCCACAGAGAACAGTCTTTATTAGCTGAATTTAAAATATTGGGGAAGAAGTAGAACATGTGCAGCACAGAAGTAGGAAACAAACTGAAACTGTACCATAAAATTTGACACTCTTAAAAAAAGGTGCTTCAGTGGTTCTTTATAGAACCATGGAACACTCAAAGAACCCTCTGCATGATTAAAGGGGTCTTTGCATCATGAAATGTTCTTCACATTGATGGAAAATGTGCTGTAGATGGTTCTACATAGAACCTTTTTAAAAATGGTTCTATATAGCACTCAAAACGGTTCTTCTATTGTTACGGTGTCAAGCTTTTCAAAAAGGTTCTATATAGAATTGTCTATAGCACATTCATGCATTCTCCATCAATCTGTAGAACGCTTTCATGATGCAAAGAACCTTTTAATCATGCAAAGGGTTCTTTAAGTGTTCGTGGTTCTATATAGAACCGTTCTCTTTACTAAAGAACCCTTGGAGAACCGAATCTACAGTGTATAATCAGACCAGGAGGTTTCAGACTTTTACCTCCGACTGTCTGTTGGACTATTCCTTTGAAATGCTTTGCAGCTGTTCCTTCTGCAACCAACACACCATAAACCTGTAGGCAGCATCCCATAATACCATCTCCACATCACAAAGGAACACAGGACACGTCAGCGGTCAGCGTCACGCAAAACTTTTATTCTTTAAAGGGAACAAAAAGTGTGATGTGAACAGAGAAGAGAACACAGTGTGAGGCCTACAACGGCACGCGAACGCTAACTAGCTCAGACTCACAGCACAGTAAAATGAAGGAACCTGAGTTTAAGGTACTACGGTTCTAACAGCTGCTACATCGGACATTAAAATCACTGGAGTAGAAAGAATCACAGGCTTTTCTCCTTAGAGCACAGCAGGTTCACCAACTCGGTCAAACGTTAAGGAGCAGCTCAGCTCCACACGCTAACGCTCAGCGTTAGCATGACTGACTGAGCTGCTCCTCTTTTCTACCTCAGAGGGTCTGAAACGCGACTCAAACTCGGTCCTTTCACAGAACGAAGGCTGTTTTTCATTCTGAGGCAGAGATCTGGGTGGATGTGGATCTGTTTAGCGATGCTAACCGTGATGGAAACGTCCGGCTGGGTCTGGAAGGCTAATCAAGGCTGATTTTTTTTGCTGTGCCTGTTGTTTTTTCATGAGCAAATCTGTGTGGAGGGGAGGGAGGTGGCTGATTAAGACCGGCGGTCCGACCCCAAGACGTGATAAATGTTATGTCTGGACGGCACCATCTGCGCTCCTCGCTCTCCGCAATACTGAATTTAGCAAGACTTCGTTGGCGTTAGCATCACAAATGTCAAACACCGAAGCAACTGACCCGTCCATGCTCCGCCTGTTCTTCCATAGCAACTGTTGCTAGGTTGGACAAGTTTTACAAGACTTTGGCCACTCAAACGTAGCACACACTTCAAACTCTGAGCCTCAGATGGTGTTTATTTAGTGTGTGTGTGTGGAAGGCCGCACTGCTACGGTTGTATAAATAGCCCAGTAGTGATGGTCTCCCTCTGCCTCGCAACGGTAGCAATGATCTCATCCCTTAAAGGGGAAATCCACTAATATTTCTACATTTCTGCATGATTCAAAGGTTGAGATGTAAACAAAGTCACTCAGAGTGTGAAATGGTTCAGATGTCTTTACAGTGGTGCTGATAGGAACCAGGGGTCACCATGACTACAACACAAATATAGCCATTATATTTACAATCCAGAACCACCAGTGAGCTTACAAGTCTTTTGAGTGTTTATATGGAATGTTGGTGATGGTAAAAGTGATAAATCTGATCATTTAAGTTAGCTTTACAACACTCTGCATGTACCTCTCCACCATGAATACACATTAGGCCGAATATCTTGTCTAGTAAATATCGTACCACAGTGTGTTGCACCATTTTATGTACCAGCTTTCTGTGAGGGAGCTTTAAAGAGCAGTAAACTCGTCAGACATCTGGTTCCTATCACCACCATTGTGAACAATGTGAAGTTGTTTACATCTTTAACATCTAATTATGCAAACATTTTCAGCGGATCCTCATTTTTACGGTATGATCTAAAGGCTTTTTTATGGATGTAGCTTCAGACTGCATGTTGTTAAGCTTTCTATTTCAGCAAAACGTTAGTATCAATGGCAAATATGATGGGCGAATGTGGATACGGAAGGGAATCGCCTACGTCTTACGTCATCGAAGCATAATTGACCAGTTCATGGCTGCTGGAACAAAGGGAGCGAACTGGGATTTGACTCAGCTCTTCTCAGAGTGGTGGGCAAACGTACCCAACACTTTCTGATTGAGTTCAGGCTGAAAATAAACCTCTGTAACCACATGGACCACTGGCATATTGACACAGACAGACGGAACCAAGCCTCCGTTTCAGCTGGGAGAAGGTATATCCCATAATTCTGTGCTCAGTGAGAAGACTGCTGCAACTTGTTAAATGGTTTTACTGCAATGCATGAGCTAATATTTATGCACTTGGCCCAGTTTATAATCCCAGATTATGCATTCATGAAGAGGTCTGTTGTGACACGACTCTGACTTAAGCTTGACGCAGCGCTTAAGGCTGGTTTTAGTCAGCGGGAGCTACAGACAGCGGCTCAGTTAGTCTTCAGTCAGCCAGAGAGGGTGAAGGCCGCTCTACTAGCACACATTAGCTAAGTAATTAAAAGAGCCCATAAATTCACCACTTTGACCGATTTCAAGCCCATCCTCTCGGATAAAGCCGACAGGGAGAGGGTCCAGAAACCCCTCAGAATAACTCCACTGTGCTACGCTACAGCAGTTAGCTTAGCTGTGGCAGCAACTAAGATAGTCAGTGATGCTAAAACAGTCGTGAACTTTCTGATTAGCCTGTCAATCGTATGATTATTTCTAAAAGCCTCAATTACGCAACAAATACAGACACAACTGATCTACCCTAACAGTCTGACCTTATAGCTGTATGCAAAAGTTTGAGCACCCCTGGTCAAACTGCGTGTTTTATTGATTTTCTAAGTGTGTAAATAAGGTTAACACCTCCTCTACAGTGAACACACTTCTGCACACTTTCATACACAATTACCGTTTATTTACTGACTTTAATACACTAGATGGCCAAAAGTTTGTGGACAATCGCTCATCAAGAGTTGCTCAAGTATTAAAAAGGAGTTTGCCCCCCTTTGCTACAGTAACAGCCTCGACTCTTTGGGGAAGACTTTACACTAAATGTTGGAACACTGCTGTGAGGATTTGATTGCATTCAGCAGCGGGATCATTAGTGAGATCAGGTACTGATGTCGGATGATCAGTTCTGGATCCCATCCCAAAGGTACTGGTTGGTGCTTCATCACTCTAGACTAGAGAACCCAGTTCTACTGCTACACAGCTCAATTATGGGGGGCTTTATACCCCTTTAGCCAATGCTTGGTATTTGACATGGTGACCTTAGGCTCATGTGCGGCTGCTCCAGAGCATCCTGTTCTACTGTCAGTGCTTTTCTATGGAGATTATACAAACTGTGCGCGCATGTTAATGCAGCTGAATTCACTAATAAGAAGGAGTGTCCACAAACTTTTGGACATGTAGTGTCTATCCAATAAGAGTCCCTGGGCAAGACTCCTAACACTACCTTTGCCTTGAAGTCGATCTGGACAAGAGCATCTGCCAAATGCCGTAAATGTAACATATTGGGGGAAAAATAAAACACAAAATGTAGCCAGTGCAAAAGTTATGGCACATTTTATATATATATTTTTTTAGAAATTGTGCACTAAAATCTGCAGACCATTATTTAGGTCTGTTCCCCGTGGAGGAGGTGTAAACTCACATTCACTTAAAAAAACCAACAAAGCCCATAAAACTGTGTTACATCTTCTCACTGGGTTGAATTGGATTTCTGCCAACGTTATGTAAAGCTTGTCCAGCCCAGCAACAGTAGCTACGAAAGAACACATTTGTGGGCGGATGCTTCGTTTTGGCATCCGTGTTACAAACATCATCATTACCGAAGTGATTAATATAAGAGAGATGAGGTCAAAGACATTAATCATCTCTCGTTCTCTCTGAGCCGCTGCGGCTATGGCATCATCCTCTCTCTCTCGGCCAAGACGCAGGCTGTAAAATATACTGCTTGTGTCACAGAGTTGTGTTCCCCATCACACCAGCCTGCCAGACTGGGTGACATCACTGTCATAAACTCTGGACGAGCGGGCTACACAGAGAGAGAGAGAGAGATGGTGGAGCGAGTAAATGGTGAGAGAGAGTAAAAGCGTGCGCCTTGACTTGACAAGATGCTCATCCAGTATAAATTCTTTCCTTGTTTCATCATGAGAGAGAGAGAGAGAGAGATGGAGGTCACAGAGCAGAGAAATGAAGGCACTGCAGAAGTTCGTGCTTCTGTTTTTTCTCTGCATCTAAACACCTGATTCAGACTTGGTGATCAGCTAATGAGTTGTACTGGGAAAAAGCTGACCCGTTCAGTGGTTTGACACTGAAGAAAACTGAGCTCTGAGAGGAGAGTAAACTGGATGTAAACAAGGGCCTGAACAATTTTACCAAGCTAAAGATTCCAATTACTGATCATAAATCTCCTAGAAGAACCTGCACAGACCAGCATATGTTGTGTTTTGGATGCTGGTATGATGGTCAACCAGCATGACCATTTGGGGTGACCAGCTAAACCACATCAGACCAGCATAAACTAGCTTAAACCAGCATGGAATTCATGCTGTTCTACGTCATTTTGTCCTGCAGGGATTGGTCAGCATAATTTAATGGTCAAAATGTTTAAATAATGACGCCAGTAGTTCTAGTAAAGCAGTGCCAGATAATGATCGGACTGATTTCACTGTTAATTGTCAAATGTTTCATTAGTCTTTTTAAAAATAAACCACAAAACTCCAAAGTGTTCCTGACCGTGGTCTCACAGCGCCGACAAATCTGTAGAAAACTGCAACATATCGTCTGGACCCCAGTGTAAACATTCAGACGCGGTCAGGCGTCCTGGCACTACACGGCTTTCAATCCAGCAGACAACGACCAGTATTTACCAAATGTATCTGAGTAAGAGAGCTTATCTAGAATCACAGCCTGGGTCCTGCTATTTCCCCATCGGATCCAATTATATGGACCTGAACCTGATTGTAGATCAGTCCTCTAAACTAAGGCACTTGATAATGGGCTAGTGTGTTCCACTAACATTAGCTACAGTCCACTGTGCACCAAGCCCAGACTGCACTGTGTCCCAGCTGTATACTGCACACTAAAATAAGGCATGTTTGTGTTTATCTTTACTAGATTATGATTTGGGCAGATTATCATACAAAATATTCCCACTGTACACCGTTCTGTGCTAACTTGAAGTGATGCTGCAATGATAATGAACATGCACCTGCAAGCTAGTAGGCTAACCAATACCAACAAAGGCTAATTGTTACGCTTTATTATTTAGCTGTTCTTTTAGTGCTACAGAAAAGATGCTCCTGATGAGGAGATGCTTATTTGCTAAACTTATTGTTAGCTAGCTTGCTAGCTATGCAATGTGAGCGATCCACTTTCAGAATTTTCCAAAAAAGTCTCAAAAGTCGACCGATTCTAAGTAAGCACTTGTATATATGCCACATGCTATTCTCAAAACACATTCAGAATCAGTCTTTAGTCTCATAAGCCAGACATTCTGCCTGTTCTGGTGCGTTTTGTTGCTTAACATGACAAAAAACCACCTACTTGGATGGAAAATGGCAATTTGAGTTACTGAGCTGTCATAAATGTACACTAATTCTGAACACTGAGAGACTTTTACGTTCGACACCGATGCAGACACAGTACGCAATGAGGTAGAATAAATATAGCAACGTTTTACTGCAGTTAAGCCTTTCTTCATTCAATTAACACCGCTAGCATAATGCTAATTCCCAGTAACACTGCTGTAGGGCTGTCCAGTGTTATGTTAGCGCCAAGCTAACCATAGTTCAACAAAGCAATTGATGGCAGCTGTAGGTTAAAAACAGTCAACTGATGACTGAACAGATATTCAGCTAACATTTCTCTAGTTTTTCCTCTGATACTTTGAGTAAAGATTTAAACTTAAAGCCTGTAAATGGATATTTCTGAGGGGGCCTAATTAGCCTGTTAGCTATTAACAGGTTAGCATGTCAGCCTGCTTTTATGATAGAAAGAACTTTATTGATCCCGAGGGGAAATTACAATTTTATATTTTGTGAAATAAAGTGCAATACTTGTGAAATACAGTGTCACAGATTATTTTGAAGGCAGTTAACATTAGCATTAGAGCACGCAAATAAAGTTAAACCAGAGACAAATGCAACTGGTTAGCTACGTAGCTAACTTTTCAGTTGGCAGCAAATTGATTATGACAAGTGACTTTACACATTTGAAACATAATATAAAATTAATATACTTTCTGTGTATATTTGTGGGGGAACGGCTGAGAATGGGCGCATCTTTCGTATACAACCGGGACACAGAGCTTGGCAAATGACACTTCCTAAACAGAGCTTGGCAAATGACACTTCCAGCTAAAAGAGTCTACAGCCTGACCACCAGCACAGCCCACTGCGAGACATCTCTGAGACCACCAGAACAGATTCCAAATCAAAGCACGTTTGCAGTTCAGGGTGGGAGGAGGACTTAGATCAGTAATGAGCTCCTGGTCTGGCTGTGTAGAAAGAGTTAGCATATACCCACATCATTACAGCAGAGCGTCTAACCATTTTGCCCTTTATCAAGTACTGCGTATGTTAATTTATTTACTCATTAAGAAGGTGTCACTGATTTTTTCATGATGGAAAAAAATTCAAGAAAAAAATGTATAATTACAGATATAGAGGATATACAGCGTTAGCTGGCAGAGTTTGAGAGGTCTTTTATTCTGGTCTCTTTGATTTGAATGGCTACTTATACTTTCGTGTAGGTTTAAAATACAAAACAATATCAAACGCTACGTTCTCCGTACAGTGACAGGGTCTTCTAGTGGCTGTTTCGAAGGATTGTAAACATTGATTATAAGGTTCGCAATCTCACTTCATTCACACATCACTAAATCTACGGCAGGGTTTGCTAATTCCAGTCCAGGAAGGCCACATCAACCCACACCTAAATTAGCTAATTCAGGGTTTGGAAACGAGTTGAATAAGAACAATGAAGACACTTTAACATGGAGTGCAAGGCTCTAGAGGAATGGAATTGGAGAACCCTGATAAAGGCCCTATTCCAATACTCTTAGTTCACGGTCTGGTATGTGTATCTGTTTGGATCCAAACTCAGGTCATCAAAACCTGCAGCCAGTCCATTTTTACTTGCACCAGACCGTGACTACCTCCCTCAGGAACGAAGAACTGGCTGAGGGATCCTCACAATCTGTGAGCCATAGACTGGGTTACATCATTGGTTCCCAACCCAGGTCCTGGTGAACCTCTGTCCTGCATTTTTAGGTGTTTTTCCGTCTTAAAAAAACCTGATTTAATTAAACAGCTCATTAACAAGCCCTTCCTGAGCTGATGGTGTGTTAAAGCAGTGAATATACTACTGTTCATTGGTAATACAGGACCAGGGTGGTTATGAACCGTCAGGAAAGATAACAGGTCTTTAACTCCAGATCCTTAATCCAGTTTACTTGATTTTGTAATTGCTGGTGGCCAATCAGCCACATCAACAGTTCAATTAACTACCAGTGATTACAAAATCCAGGACTAGAAACTGGATTCAAGGTCCAGATTTGAAGACCTGGGCTAGATGATGGGAGGACATTAGGCTAATTCCGAAGCTGGGTCTCACTGACACTAATGCTCACTTCATCTGGCCACTTTTACCTGGGAAAATCCATTTTGCCACCAAGTTTTCGAATTATCTGTGGTAGTGTTCATTGAAAAGAGATTAGAAAATTTGCAAACGTATTAAAATTTAAGCCATAAGTTAAGTCTGTTCAATAGGAACCCCCTTTACCTTCCTTCCTATTTAACAAGCTTATCTTTTGGCAAAAGCCTTAGGCATTTGAATATTAGCATTCAGGTCAAACGAGTCCAGTCAGAACAGCCGTCTTGGTTCCTTCACTTCTTGCCTTTATTTTGAGCCACGCTTTGAAAAAGGCAGGAAGAGAAGAGAGGGTGCTGTGTAAGAGTATTGGAGGAGGGCTGAAGTGCGCACTCCGTAAGGCCCCTCAGACCTTGTCTGGCTTGTTGATGAGAACAGAGCAGCAGGTCAGCGCTCCGTCCACCTTTCCCTTCTCCGCGTTGGAGACGGGGATCAGCATGTGGTCCTTCAGCTTCTCAAACACCTGCAGTCAGAGGAAACAAGAACAAACGTATTGACGTTAGTTTTTTAACAGCATATTTTGCACAGCTTACCACGTCTAGACTTGGACATACTGATATTATGTGCAACAGCAACATTCATAAACCCATTCTTTGATACAGGCCTTGAACATGAGCATCTACTACAGTCACGAGAGGAATCGAACTACACAAGAACTGTGTGTCGGGAGAAATGGGTTTAAATGGCCGACCAGCTGCACACAGGCCTGAGATCACTATGCTCAATGCCAAGCGTCGGCTGGAACGGTGTAAAGCCACCACTGGACACTGGAAATGTGTTCTCTGGAACATGCTTCACTATCTGGCAGTCTGATGGACGAATCTGGGTCTTCTGGGGGCAACTCCATATTAATGCCGATGGTACTGTCTATATAGATATACACCAATTAGGCATAACATTATGACCACCTCCTCGTTTCTACACTCATTGTCCATTTTCTCTGCATACTTTGTTAGCCCTCTTTTACCCTGTTCTTCAGTGGTCAGGACCCCCATGGACCCTCACAGAGCAGGTGTTATTTAGGTGGTAGATCATTCTCAGCACTGCAGTGACACTGACGTGGTGGTGGTGTGTTAGTGTGTGTTGCGCTGGTCTGAGTGGATCAGACACAGCAGTGCTGCTGGAGTTTTTAAACACTGTGTCCACTCACTGTCCACTCTATTAGACACTCCTACCTTGTCAGTCCACCTTGTAGATGTAAAGTCAGAGACGATAGCTCATCTGCTGCTGCACAGTTTGTTTTGGTCATCCTCTAGTCCTTCATCAGTGGTCACAGGACGCTGCCCACAGGACACTGTTGGCTGGATATTTTTGGTTGGTGGACTACTCTCAGTCCAGCAGTGACACTGAGGTGTTTAAAAACTCCAGCAGCACTGCTGTGTCTGATCCACTCAGACCAGCACAACACACACTAACACACCACCACCACGTCAGTGTTACTGCAGTGCTGAGAATGATCCACCACCCAAATGCTTATACTAAAATCTACACTGACTCGAGATCTGAGGTCAGAGATCGAATACAGCGATGAATTAAACAGACAGAGAGTGAAGAGCAATTAGCAAACACATGTGAACAAGAAGAGTGACACTGATTAGCACATTCCGACTCAACAGATCCAGCCAAGCATCTTAATGATGACACACGATCCTCAGCGGTATTACTGTAATTAACTCCTCTGCAGTTAAGGTTCATTTAATGCGCGCACAGTAATTAAAAAGGCGTTTAATTAAGACGCCTGTTAAAGGCTCTTTATAGCTGGAATTGGGAAATCAAGGTTGGACGGCTTTTCGGATGTCTGGGTGTCGCTCGAGGAATAAACGATCAATGTTACGACATCTTGAAAATAAATAAATAAATAAATAAATATATAAATAAATAAACCCGCTGGAGATGTGTCATTGTGTGGACGTTCTCCAAGAGCAAACCACTGTTTTCCTACAAGCTCTCCAAGAGAGAATACCTCTCTCTCTCTCTCTCTCACTCACTCCTTCTCTCTTTCCAACTCTCTCTGAATGACAGACTCATGAGCAGCACTGAAGCTGTCCAACCAAAAATAAATAAATAAACGCGAGGACCTCCGCAGCCCTGCTCCACTTCCAAGAGGCAGAAAAAGCAATCAAACGCTGATAAAGTTTGGCACGCTGAGGCCAGAAAGTCTTAAATCAGTCATGTTTGTGTATCTGCCTTTTCTTCCACAGCTTTCACAGCAGGGCCGCATATAATAATACGCTGTGTGGCCAAAAGTATCGTTCTTGAGTCCAGGTGTTTTAGCCACACTGATTACTAACAGGTGTATAAAATTAAGCACATAGCCTTGCAGTCTCGATAGACGAGCACTGGCAGTAAAATGGGTCGTACTGATGAGCTCGGTGACTTTAAAACATGGCACTGTCATAGGATGCTGCCTCTACCACAAGTCAGTTTGTGAAATTTCTGTCCTGCTAGATCTGCCTCAGACAACGGTAAGTGCTATTACTGTAAAATGGAAGCATCTAGGAGCAACAACAGCTCAGCCACGAAGAGACCACACATGCACATAAAAATCTCCTATCCTCTGGTTAATCACTCACTGTAGAGTTCCAAACTGCCTCTGGAAGCAACATCAGCACAAGAACTGTGACTGGGAGCTTCATGAAATGGGTTTCCATGGCTGAGCAGCTGCACACAAGCCTAAGTTCACTATGTGCAATGCCAAGTGCTGGCTGGAGGGGTGTAAAGTAAGCCACTACTGGACTCTGGAGCTGTGAAAATGTCTTCTCTGGAGTGATGATTCACACTTGACTATCTGGCAGTTTGATGGATGAATCTGGGTTTGGTGGATTCCAGGAGAACGTTACCTACCCGAATGCACAGTGGCAACAGTAAGGTTTGGTGGAGGAGGGATAAAGGT